CCCCCCCCCCCCCCCCCCACAACTGGAGGCCCGAGCCGTGCCTTGCTCCTCCTGGGGCGGGGGGCAGGGGAAAACCCGAGCCATGGTCGGGGGGACAGTGACGAGAGAGGCATCTGTCCTCGCCGCCTCCGCCGGACCCGAGGAGCACTGGGTGGGGGAGACCCAATAACAATCCATATCCCCGCCCCTCGCCCCTCCCCCCCCCCCCCGGGCGGGGGCCTCTGTCGGGCGTGCCCGCACAGGGGCGGGAGGCCGGGCGGCGGGGCCCTCGTCTGTCACCTGAGGCCCGGCGAGAGGAGCGGCCCCGGGCGCGGCTCCCTGCGGCGCCCCCGCCGGGAGGGGGGCCGGGGCAGCACAGGCGGCCGGGGAGAGGCGCGGATGCATCCCTCGGGCCAGCGCTCGCATACACACACGCACACAGGGGCCTCGCTCGGCCGACCGCCGTTACCGGCCCCGGGGCGCAGCCAGTGCCCAGGACCCCCACGACCGCACGGCCGGCCGCACCAACCAACACGTAGAAAAGCGCCCTCCCCCCCGGTCGCCGAGCGTCCCCCGGCGCGAGCTCCATCCACCCACCTGCCCCCCCCCCACCTCGCAGCACCTCCTGTCGCGTGGCCCCTCCCCCCCCCCCCTCCGTGTACCCAGAGCCATGTCCTCCATCTCCCGCTCGCCCACCGCCGAGGACCTCGCCAACGAGGCCCAGGTATGTGTCCCCCCCCCCTGTGTCCTCACACGTACACGCACACACACACGCACGGATCCCTTTCCACTCACTCCGCCCTCCCCGCCGCCGCCGCCGCACGCCATAGGACGTCGCCACCGTCACCACCCCCCAGGAGCCCGTCCAGGAGGCTGCCCCGGCCGCCCGCTCCCGCTCCAACCGCATCTCCATGATGATGGCCCGGTTCGAGGTTGAGGACGGTGCTGCGCCGGCCGACAGCGGCGCCCCGGCCGGCGGCAAGCTGGCCGTCTCCACCTCGGCCGGGTCTCCGTCGATGGATGCCGCCGATGCCGCGGCCGCGCCGGCCCCCACCCGCCGGCCGGTGTCCACCGTCTTCAACACCCCCCCGGCCACCCCGGGCGCCGACTCCAACATCTGCCAGGTGTGCGAGAAGATGACCTACCCGCTGGACCGCCTCACCACCAACGGCGCCACCTTCCACAAGACCTGCTTCCGCTGCGCCGAGTGCAACAGCGTCCTGCGCATGGGCAACTTCTCCGCCCTGGCCGGGGCCTTCTACTGCACCCCGCACTTCAAGCAGCTCTTCCGCCTGAAGGGCAACTACGACGAGGGCTTCGGCCGGACCCAGCACAAGCACAAGTGGACCGCCTAAGGGAGAGAGAGCGAGCGCGCCATGCAAGCCGCAGAGGGGGAGGGGGAGTGTGCGCCGAAAGGGCCCCGGGTGGGCAGCGGCCGGGGGCCTTGCGGAGCACTCCGCGTGCCGCCGCCGCCGCCGCCTCGCCACCCTGCCCCCTCCTCCCCTCGCTGCTTGTCCGCTGTCTTCGCCCCCTCTCGTTCCTCTCACTCTCTCTCTCCCACGATGTGTGTGTGTGTGTGCGCGCGCGTGTGTGTGTGTGTGTGTATGCCGCCCTTCTAGTTCTTGCGGCCGTGTCTCGCGCCGGCCTCCCCGCTTTTTTGCCTCCTTTCCTGTAACACGGGTTGTAATATATCTATATCCATATGTGTTTGCTTGCCTGTGCGCGTGCGCGCGTGTCCGGACAATGGGTTTGGGCAGGCCCCGGGGGGGGGGGGGGGGGGGGGGGCGGGGGTGTGTCGGCCTCTCCACTCTATCTCCTCCGCTCGTCGCCGCGGCATGGCAAAGGGGCGGCGGCGGCGGCGACCAATCCCACGCCGCCGTACCCGAGCATGCGCTGGCCTCCAGGGGGAGAGAGTGAGAAAGTCAGAGGGAGAGTGTTGTGTGTGATTGTGTGATTGTGTGATAGAGAGAGAGAGAGAGAGAGAGGGAGAGAGAAAAAACGAGGAACATGCCTTGCCCCTCGGGAAAAGGCGCGGGCGCCGCTGATCGCACAGGGCCCCGGGTCTTCCTCGCCCCGCCCCGCCTCCGCCCCCAGGCCAGCGATCGCGGGCGCCGGCGGAGATGACTCCCAACGATCCGCCATGGGCACGGGGCCATGGCGGCGGCGTGTATCACGCCCTTTCTGAGGGCGAAAGAAATCGCCAGCCGGCAGCGGGCAAAGTCCCGGCATTAATTGGACGCCGGGCGGGCGCCCGATCCGCTCCATCTTCCAGCAGCCCTGAGCTTCACATCCCAAAGATGCAATTTTCGCCTTTTACTAGAATTGCCTTGATGCGAGGTTCGCTCAACTGGGCCTAGAAGAATATTTGGAACAGTCTCTCCTAGACTTCATCCCCTTTTCCCCTCTTAATAATCGAAGCCCTCCCCCCGGTGTCCCCTTCCGCGTGTCTGTGTCGGCGCGTTTTGCCGTGCGCACGCGCCCCCGCGTAACCGAGGAGAGAAAGACCAGCGGCGAGCGTGTCCACTGCTGTGGGGTGGGCCCCCCCCCCCCGGAGACAGAGAGACCACACGGGAGAGGTAGCAAGGGGCAGTACAACCAAAGGCCGCGTCGAGAGCCGTGCGCGCTCTCCTTTGCGGGCGCAGCAACGGGGGGCGGGAGAGGGGGGGGGGGACGGAGACCGAAGAAAGGCAGGACATCTATTCACTATAAAACTACAAGGACAGCATATGTGGGCCCGGGGGAGGGGGGGAAAGGGGGGCGCGTGGTGTGCAGATGACTCCGGCCCCCGCACGACTCTCGCCACGGAAAGCGGGGGGGGGGGAGGGGGGGCGCGCGTGTGACCTGCACATCGCGCATACAGGCACAATTGGCATGCGTGGATGCACGGGTGCGGCCCCACAGACGGGGACAGTTGGAGGGAGAAGCAGAGACGAAGACAGGGCATGCATGCATGCGCGCACGCAGCAGTCCCGCGCCCTGCGACGGGGTGTGAAGAAGGGTGGACGCAGAGGAACAGAGGGGGGGTCGGAGAAAGTACGGGCCCAGGCGGACGTACGCGCGGGCGGGCGTACACACACACACACGGGGAGAGAGAGAGAGAGAGAGAGAGAGAGAGAGAGAGGAGGACGAGGGGAGAGAGGGAGGACGAGGCGAGGCGCGTAGAGGACGCGCCTCCCCCGGCCCCCGGCGCACTCATCCTTGGCTCCTGTTGTGACGGGCAGGCGCAGAGAAGCCAGATGGCAAGGGAAGAGCACATGGCCAGGGAGAGGGCGGCCCGGGGGTCGAGAGTGGAGGAGACACGGCAGGAGGAGGGAGGGGCTTGACGCGGCACAAAATGGCTCACGGCCATCTCTCCCCCCCCCCCCCCCCCCGGTCCTCCTCCTCCTCCGCCAAAGCTCGCCCCCCGCCATAGGCCCACGGGGTGTGGCCTCTGCGCTTGCTGGCGTGCGCCGCGCACACGCGCCCTCTTACTGGCTCTTCTTCTTGGCGGCGGCCTTCGCCGGCGAGGCGGCGCCGTCACCACCGGCCGCGGCGGCGGCCTTCTTCTTCTTACCCTGCACGCGGAAGTAGCTCCGGACCATGAGCATCACCCAGTAGATGTTGAGGCTGTTGAAGAAGAGGTTGCCCACGAGGTACAGCCAGAACATGCTGCGCGGCTCGGTCTGCGAATAGGCCGCCACCACATCCATGACATACTTGATGGTCTGGTACCAGCCGAAGATGCCGCGCACCGCGATGAAGGACAGGCCGAAGGCCAGGGTCAGGAAGTCGGCCGAGGGCCACTGATGGCGGATGGCCAGCCAGCGCAGGTGCACCAGCGGAGTGCTCAGCTCGAACAGCAGGAACACCGCGCCATAGTAGTGCAGGTACGGGGCGTGCACCAGCGAGTAGAGGGTCAGCGAGCCGATGGCATGCATGAGGAAGGCCCAGCCGGAGGTCTCGAAGTTCAGCAGACAGAAGACCAGGTCCCACACGAAGTAGCCCCCGGCGATGGCGTACACCCCGGAGGAGAAGGGGGTGGTGCCGAAGATGCGATCCGCCTGCAGCTCCGGGAAGAGCCCCGGCCGGCAGACAATCACCAGCGACAGCAGCGAGATGACCACCGCGTGGATGAAGGCCGAGAAGCGGCAGGCGTAGTCCGCCCGCAGGGACTTGGGCAGGGTGCTATAGCTGTAGGGTGGCGGGGCGGCGGAACAGCGGGGGGG